TGTAATTAGTATTTACATGTAGGTATAGCAAAAAATATAAAAAAAAAACAATAACAGTTAATGCATCGTTCTTAATTTGATTTCAATAATGAGTGTGCTGCCTGAAACATTCGTGTTTGTTGTTTTCTTTGTCGCATTATTAAGACTATGTTGACCTTTGAGGAATGTCACCAATATTTGCAAGCTGCTTTTGTCAGGTCTTCTTCTTCGGTGGCAACTGTCCCATATTGTTGCATTTAAACGAGGTAGGGATATCATGAAGCATGTTGTAAAGACAACCGACAATTGTGCTTAGTCATTACATCCGACATCAGGCTTGGTTTACCTAATAAGTTACATAGAAGCAATGATTGGATCACAGGAGATTCTTCTTTTGAGTTAGGTAACTGGGGCCCTCATTTTTAATGGTAATCACTCAATATTAGGTGAACCGTCTGCTTTCATGCATATAAAAAAGATAAATTCTTACAAAGTACTCGTTCTAATTGCGTTTAAAAGTTATGTTTACATGACATTGAAACTTTCATCGATGCTAGAGACTCGTGGACATTATGTATGTTATATTGTGTATGAGCTATCGAATACGTAATTCGATATTTGCACGAAATAACTTCAACCTTCAATAGCTATGGAGTGAATTTGAAATGTATTTATTAAACTGTTCGAATAAAAAATGATTATGAAAACAGCTAAATTGGTTTTTAAACACGTACAAAATGAAGTATAATATTATTGTTTTAAATTGAGTTGGCGTTATTTCAAACAATGCAGGGTTCAAAAATGTAAATAAATATGAGCATACTTGGCGCTTCTTTGTCGGTTTGCTTGATGTTTTATTTCCGGAACGAATTTAAAAGCAAACACACCGATATCACAGAAGAATATTAATTTAAAAATTATACCCTTATTTTGTCACCGATCTTGGTGAGTTAATAAGTTATTTAATGTTATAATTCCATCTTTTTAAAACAAACCGCAATATATTATTTAAAATGTAGGTACATACGTTTTTTCGGAGAGTTACAAGTACTTTTTATTATATAATGTACATTAAATAATTTTTTTCTCCTGGTTTTGGTTTTTTTTCTATGTGAAATGTTGCCAAGCGATCAGACGGTTCATCTGATGCTAAGTGAAGACCGCCATCCATGGACATCTGCTACACCCGAGGGTTATAGATGCGTTGACAACCTTTTGAAAATTGGGATCCAGCCACTTCACTGCCTGCCCATTCGTGCAACAACCGAGGCTGCTGTGGGCCCTACCTCCGTGTAAATTATCACGATTTTAATTGCTTCCTTTCTATCCTGCTCCTAGATTTACTCCTTTCTGATTTTAAATAATTAAATTTACAGTGGTAGAGCTTCGGCTTAATGGACTGAGGGGTAGAAATAATGGATTTTTGCTTTTGCTTTTCTTCTGGTATGCGATGCAGCCGGACCCTGTTGACATTACCGTAAGGCCAACTCAACTGTTTGCCATTTTTTTATTAAAAAATAAATGAATACGCTATACCATGTGTTCATCGTTTACCATGTATACATTATTTTTTCTGTATTCTCCACGTGTGAACTTTGCCTTCTAGTTCGCAATAGGTTCGCCAAAGCGATTTGTTAGCATCTCTTTTAATCAGTAAGAGCTCGAAGTATCTTCAAGCTCTTACTGACCAAGTGCTTTTACGACCATAACATTAACCGTCAAGTTGGGTGGTAAACATGCTATTGTCAGTTTTAATAGGTGGTAAACGTGCATTAGTCAGTTTGTAATTAAGTATACATGAAATATATAAGAGGTATAGTGGGTCAGTGTGCGAACGCTCGCATTTGTTGCAGTTTAATCGAGCTTACAGAAGTCTAATATAATATACGAGTAGTCTGTCTTGGTATATTCTTCAATGAAAATCTACCGCTGATTTGAACCGGCTTCTCTGAAGAGTAGCATCAACATATCTAAAAAGTAAAATAAAATTCGAAGATGTGTAAGGGCAACGGGGCTACGCCCTAGTGTCTCCTGTACAGAATAGGCCCTCTTCTTTGCAGTGGAGGATATGTGTAGTCCGTCACTTCTCTTTAAGCATTTAGCCGTTTAAAGTCTAATACGCCGTACGCCGTCTGACAAGGTGGGGATGCCTTCCTCGGGAGTCCAGTTTCAATGGGGGGTGGTGTGTGGGCGGCCCGACCTTTCGCGTGTCCAGCGCGGGCGGATAGCGCGAAAATATCGATTCGCCTTATCACGGCGTTATCGTTGGCGTGTCAACCGGCCCGGTGAAATAGGAACCGAGCGCACGCGTTGGACCCCACGCCGATCTCTAAGAATAAAACTAAATGAGTCCCTAAGACGGAGACAGCTGAGCCATCCACGTTTCAGTCCAGCCATGTTTCAGTCACCCAAATGTTGAAATGAAAAATGATAAAGTCGTTGGCGATGCGAATTTTCGACCTCAATATAGCAAATCCAATACAGGCTCTAGATCAGTACTGGCTCTACCTAACTTGTAGGATTTTAGCGCGCATGCGCCCCGCATTCCGCTGCATTGGGTGTCGCCGACTCCGCCTTTCGCGAATTATTCGCAATGGGAAGAAATGAAACGTACATTTACATTGAACACAAATACAGTTCAGAATATAAGACATCATACAAAAAAATTTAGCCATAGTGCTATCAATGTTGCCAGTGAAAAGTATTTTGTAAAACAGAGTTCTAAAGATTGCGCAGAGCTACCAGTAAGATTAAAAAAATACGCTTATAAAACAGAATACGGCTGTGAGTTAAAATGTACTATTTCAAATTTCGAATGTGGGAGAGAATTTGACATAATTATAATATATTCAAATTATGTTTACGAAAAGTGACTTCGCTTACGAGTAAAAACAACTATTACATAGTATAGCGTAGAGGCTAAATCTCTAGTTTCCTTTAAAAAGCTTCACCATTGTTGACAAAACATATTTTCTTTCATGACAACAAATGACTTAAAACAATTATTTGGACTCGTATGATATAATATAATCATAACTTCAAAGAATATGGTATGTACAAAAGAATTTCACTCCTTAGCATAAACGTATTATATGTTAGTCAAGGCTCTATATAGAAATTTTCTATAATATTTTAATATTTTTCTTCTCAATTTTAATGTTTAGATATGTATGTATTCCAATAAGATAATTAAAATTAACATGGTATAACTTGGTCATGATCGAGAACTTTTCATAATTCAACGATGTTAGTCCCTTCGACTCTAGTAACCGTGTTAATTTTAATCAATCTTCAAAATGAAATTTTAGCTTCATTCCTAACTTTTATTTTAATCAATGTCTATTTAAATGTAATGTTTCCTATTGAATTTATTTGAGGCTTGAAAAAATCGACGGTACTCCATAATTCATAAGTGAAATTTGGGAAAATGGAAGTAGTGAATGTCTATTTTGTCATATATAGATATGTTAAGTATTGTGTAAAAAAGTAGGGAAAAAATAAATATTATAAAACTAAAACAATATACACATAATCATGTACAACCGTACGAACATATCTTCGCCTCTTAAAGATCGATTCATGTCATAATCTCGGAAACTCATTTTATCATGTTATATATGTTTCTGAAAAATTATAATCAATCAAAAATAAATATTAAATTTCACGTTATTATTTCAGATATTTTGTGGTTATTGACATATTATAGATTAAGTTTGTAAGTCTTGGCGTGACAATCTCATTCGATCAAATTACTGAATATCGTTCTAAAACTAATGGAATTTATAAATCAATTGTTAAAGCCAAAAACTAGTCGTGGAGTGCATATTATTTGGATACGGAATGTGTATTCGTGAAAGCGGTTATTCGAACTAGTTCGCGGCGCATTCCACCTGCTATATAATCCGCGTTCTTTCGCAACTGTACCTATTCGTAACTATGTCATAGAGCGCGATAGAAATACGACCGCCTCGCTAGTGGGAGGGAGTCGATAGAGCGCGCCGAGAGGACGGAGGGGCTACGTAGGACGTTATCTGTTCGCGAATATTCTTGCGCAACGTACAACGGGGAAAATAGGTTCCCATTTGACATCGACAACCCATCGAGTGTTGCAACACGCGTGTGGATGACGCTAGTTTAAGGCATTATAGGTATTTTTCGAGCGCTCGTCTTATTATGATGTTTGTGGCCGATGAGATGGCGCGAAAAGGATGCGCGACAGCTGGTGTTGCGTTGCGAATTTGATGGGTGCACTGTAAACGAACATTGGATTTCGGCGTTCTCAAATACCTATTGCGATTCAACGCCGGTATCTTTATTTTGTATCCTCTCAAGGATGTACTCTAATTTGTATATTATTTTAATACCAATTCAAAAATAGTCATTCATAATAAAATAATAAGTAGGTATATTTTAATTGTAGTTATTTTTTAAAATCAATCCATAAGATCAATTAACTTATTTTTTTTCCCTACTATATTTAACTTTTTCAACAATGGCCATAGGTCCTAAAATTAACACTAAATAATACTTTATTAGATATTTAAAAAGATATGAGTGCTATAAAATTTTTGATTGTTATCGCCGTGCCAAGGTTAAGAAATAGTTATAAAAGGCATCAGTGCAATGGAAGGTTAAGGTCATTATAGAGTAATGGTACCTATCATACTTCACCAATGGATCTGTTATTTGCCATAAAATTAACAATTGGTAAGTACCGGGAGCAATCATTGTATGGAAATGAGTTGAATAAAAATGTCATGGAGTTAATTAACGCTCGTAAATAGTAACTTAAACGTTAATTTGTCCGTTGTCGCCTTAATTTAAAAAGAATATATTACATGCGAGGGAAGCTGAGTTACAAGATTGCGAGCGATATTCGAATATTTTCTCGCTGCTTCTAAATAACTAGTTGAACAGCAGGCCGATCGTCGCATGCTCGATGCAGAATCGATGACACGAAGTCGCCTAATCGGGTTATTCGCGGCTCGTTATCGACGTCCCGTTAATCTGTGGGCATCGCGATGGCGGACGCCGCGCCGCACGTAAACACGTTACGAAAGCGCGCGGAACAGAAGGCGCTGGATTCGCGCTCCATTACAGCGCCCGCGCCTCGCCGTCAATATGGCGGCCGCCCGTCCGAGTCAACGGCCTCCAACGGGCTTGCGCAACACCGCACGCGAATCTCGACGGCGAAACAACAGTCTTGGACTTGGCTGTATCGGTGTGCCGCTTTTGTCCATTCACACACCGACATCTATGAACCGTCAAACACTTTTGTATGTGTGCGTTGAAAGCGCATGTGTTTGTGAAGGGCTCCGACTGGAAGCCGACTTGCCCGATTAATTTTAAATTGAAAAGTCACCATGAATTAAGTATGTAGTTCCGAAGGATTTTAAGTACATGTTTGGACACGAAATCGAATCAATATTGATCTTAATTATTTCTGAGTAATTTGCATACTTAACGTTACATAAACTGTTAAACAGTTAATTTTTCAGTGGGTATAAAAGATATGAGCTACATGATTATGTGTATACATACTTACACAAGCGAAAGCGAGATTTATATGCGTAACAAAATAAGGGCTCTATAAAGCTAAATAGGTCAAAATAATATCGCAACAATCAGCGCTTGTATCGCAATAAACAAGTCAAACGAGGTCCCGTTAAGAATGGCACTGTTGATATTCATCTAACGTTGTTTTGGCCCGGAATGCGCGACACTATGTGTGTTGGCGGTTTTCAAATACAACCCAGTTTATATATATCTTATTTGTTTGGTTATAAATAAATGAAAACATTTTAATTTATTTTTGTAGCGCTTGATTTAGCAACAGCAACCGATATAAGAAAGTGTTAATCTACGGCTTTATATAATTAACTGTCTGTATTATGTAATGACTAATTTTGAGAATATTTTTAGAAATTTAATAGTAAGCATAAATAAAAGATAGCCGTGATAGCTCAGTGTCCGGGCGCTCGCCGTTAATTGAATATACTCGAGCAACCTGAGTTCGATCCCCGGTACCGGCACCAATGAAGTTTTTAACTTTAAGTGCTGACTTATCACGTGCTCCGCGGTGAAGGAAAACATAGTGAGGAAACCTGCGTATTTTCGAAATAATAACAAATAAAAATATTGTTTGAAGACATGTGAAGTCCGCCAATCCGCAGTGGGGCCGCGTGGTGGACTATGCCCTAACACCCTCTGTATGGAGGAGGCCTTTGCCCAGCAGTGGGACATGTATAGACTGTTACTTTACTTTACTTTTATAAATAAAAGATATACTTCTGGCGCCATCTTTTGTTTTGTTTGGTAACAACGGTTAAATTGAATGTCAATTATATTAATTACCTATATGGTCTCGTAAATTCTAAAATAAATAATATGCGATAAAGTGGAAAGTGCCCATTGACTTTATTCTTCTAGCCTATAAGGTAATGATTTGCATGTGATTTTGTTATTAAATGATTGGTTGGTTTGTTATAGCAGGCGTTACCAGAGCGATGTGACGTAGTGCTGCAAATACTTTTGACCGAAGACATTATTAATCAAATTTTGTTTGCGACAGTAAAGTGTGGTTGATGCTACGCCATACAAAGTGTTTTGAAATTAAATAGATGATCGAATTGAAAGCAATTAGAGGGTAAAAGAGGGACGACTTTAGAAGATTGACAACAAATATACCACATATAGCAAACATCAGTTTTTCGTAAATAATACGATGTTTAAATTATCTTCGTATTTAGGTCACCAAGGTATTTTTAAAATTCTGTTAGCGGCATTCAAGGTTTCCTTAATTTTTTTTCCGACAGTTCTGCAATAAATTTACATGGAAAAACATCATGTGGTAATTACATTATTGAACAAAATTCAAATTCAGTCTTGACTATCTTTTGGTTTTAATATTTTCGCTTTAAAACAGAATCAAACCATTTCGCGACTTTATAAATACTACGAATTTGGACGTTACGTTTTGCGCCAACACTCAATCCATATATGTACAATTTTTATTTCTTAAAAATTTTAACATTTTAATTCTCGCCAATAACGGTAAATTTCAACTTATTTGCTAAAATTCATTACATATATTTCCAAAACAATAACATCCCTAGAATTTTCATTTGTAACACTTCGCCTGTTTACGCCGTAAACGTTCGGTAGTTTTGGCGGTAAAAACCGCGGCTCCCATCGGGCTTATTTCCGTGCCGACGTCACCGCCTTTCGAATATTCAAAACCCGTTGTGCATGCGAATCGGAAGTGTTCGGAAGAGGTCGCGGCGCGCGAGCGACACGTGTAAGGCTTGCGCAACTCAACCTTGCGGTCGCGAATAATGTAGACGCCTGGTACTGGGAGGATGCCGGGGGCCGACGTATTACGGAAAACGTAGAGGTAGATAACGTCAGTACTCGGTGTTTTTACACGGTAATTAGAATAAATAGCAATAGCGGAGAAATAGCAATGTTTTTAATACGCTACCTTCTTACAGCCGGCGATAATAGCGTGAAATTAATTATTTGATGTCGGTTTAAAATCAACCAAGATATTATAACCCAACAGATACACAGGAACATAAGTACACCAAACTGCGATAACCTCCGCATAGTTGACACACAAGACCGACAACCACAAAAGCTGGTATCACAGTTTAATATTAGGATGCCAAAAATCTGAGTCATGCATACTCAGATTTTTGGCGTTCTAAAACGGTGACCATGAAAAACGTTAAAAGTTTAAAGCGTTCCAAATAAGCGCCGCGCGCCGGGAAGTTGAGTTTGAATTAAAAATCTTTTCACTCATAATGACGAAATGATGAGCACTCCATTATCTGAAAAGGTACACAATGGTAGTAATAATATTGTCCATTTTATTTTGATAGGTGGGAATAGATTTTTCTCGGGCTCGGTATTAGATGACACATTATGCTTATATTTGCTCCGGAGTAAATGCATTACTTATGTCAAGGCTAGATGCTATAATCCGACCCACTATAAGAATTTGTTTTCGGATATAACCTCATAAATTTCCACGCTAAAAGCGTTGATATTTCTGACGTTAAAAAGTTTGGCAATAATTGTGCATTTGTGAACTTCATTGCACACATTGGAATGTATGACAGAAATTCACGCACAAATATAAAAAAAATACTGGGTAGATTAAAGACGCGAGGCTCAAGCTTGTTTTCTATTCTCTCATTAATTATAAATATAGTTATTTATTTGTAAATTTCTTTCAAACAATACTGTTTATTCACACCAGCAACAACTAGTAATTATTATAAACTCGCTTTGTTAATTCGCGATCGTGTGAAAAGAATTAGATAAAGAATTATTCTCTTGATAATGGTCCTCAGTCAACAGTTTAAGCTGTTGCACGAATGGGCAGGTCCATCGGAGAAGTGGAGAAATGTTATACTTCTTCGTTTCATTTAGCGATTGATAGCCGGAGCAAACCTTATTAAAAGGTGGCAACACATATGTATATATCTACATATGTTGCGTATGCTCATTGGCGGTGGTTATCACTTAACATCACGTGAACCACCAGCTTGTTCGGGACCTTCTCTCATAAAAAAGGACTTATTGCTGAAGATAGGTCTGCGCGGAAGACCGCTCTCTATTCTAAATTCTCAAACTATAATATGTCTATACACCTCATCTACATACTCAATGAAGTTATAAGAAAAGAAACAGCCGAAGCGTCTTTGTCTACAAAATGTATAAATGCTCTAAGTCTACAAAAAGCTGTACGAAGATCTTAAAATCCGAGAGATTTAGGTCTCTATTTAACAAAGACTTCTTGACACATCCTTTACAAGAATCATAGATATGGTATGGTATGTTTTATCTACATATATGTTACTTCTTTTCGAATTTGTAACGTTGTGTGATTATATTTCATTTGCTAAATCAAATATTTTCCCGTTTCATGATACGTAAGTCAGGTGTTAAGTGTCGTCAGTGGCGAATCAAAGGGCCTCGTCGATGTCTATAGAAGGTCAGCGAGACCTTCTCAATAACCTATGAAGTTAGCATTGACAACAGGTCTTATGCAAATTCAATTGCCCGCTAGTTTCGAATGCACGAATGTGTGAAGCAACTTGGGTCATTCCTTCAATTGTCCAAGACAGTTTCTGTAAAATCAGAGTTATTGTGAAATCTTTCGTGATTGATAACGTTTTAGGTGATGCTCTATGCCAATATTATAGTTACTGAATTTTTCTGTTTGTAACAGAGGGGATGGAACTAAGTGCGTAATGGTACAAGATAAAAACTCAAAATACCTACGCCCGGTTGTAGACACAAGTTCAGAAATTTTATATATAATAGATTACTGCCAAAAAATCTCTTGTTTGTTCGTGTCTTCTTTATTTCAGTTTTTGTTTTGATTTCGCTCTTTATTTCTTATAAATCGTTTAATAAGCTTTTACGTATTCAAGTAATGTTTCAGCGGTCTGTAACTATATAAGTCGAAGCGTTCATAAGATTGGTTACATATTAACAATACAATTAATTCTGTACAGCGTACGATTGCTATTAACTTATATGAAGGACAAACGCATCATGAAGAGAAGGTTATCCGTGAACGAGACTTCAATCAGCAAGCATTTTCATCAGGGTTATCAGCTGTTTAAACATTGTTTCCTAGTATTAACCTCGATGCACGCATTGACAGTGTGCCACTTTCAAGGCGCGTTTGGTAGCTGTATAAGATTTTCCTTTAAGCTGTAATTAAATAGAATTCAATGGAAGCACGGTGCATTCAAGGATATGAAACATTTAATTAGTTCAAGCTAAGATACATACAACTTGACATTTGTATTTAGTGTGGAAGTGTTTGGGTAAGTCCCAACGATCACTGCGACCTAGTCTTTCCGTCGAAAACATTGCCCCTTACTACGGTACTATCCTACAGGATAATAATAGCCTATTTTGTACATGTTTTTGGATATTTTACATACATAAATTACAGGTGTGCAAACACCCACATCTGAAATTATCTGTAAGTCACACAAATTGGTGAGGGAATGGAACCCACGACCCTTGGTGCCGAAGTCAATACCTTGGTAACTGCACCACGGAGTCATCATGCATGTTGTCATGGTATGGACACAGAGATATAATGAAAGTCGTGTGTGTAGAAGAGTAGTGAGTATAGAGGCGGATGAATTGTGTGAAGGATGATATATCAGTATTGAAATGACGACTGATGGAGAAAAGAGGGAGGGAGAGGCATGTGTCGAAAGTAAGAAGAAGTGGAAAAAATAAGAATGATTATTGTTTTAGGTTTAATTTTAGGACAATACTTACGCCAAGAAAATTCTTTCAGGGTGAAGGTGTCATGTCCCTTTATTTTATACTCTTTAATAATTTGAATTTTCACTAAATATTTTTAAACATATAGGTATAATTAAGTGTGTACATTTTTCGAAAAGATTAAGCGAAGCTGAGAGTTAACTTATTAAGCTCACCGTCATTTCAGATTTTTGAAATGACTGTGGTAGGACCACGGAACAGTCTTCTCTGTTGTACGAATGGGCAGGTCCTTTCGGGTAAGTACGACGAACTCACAGAAGACCGGCGTGAAGTGGAAGTGTGTGCGCTGCTGCCTTTCGTCTGGCGAGTGAGGTAGCATCTGCAACCCTGCGGGTATTGCAAATTGGTGCAGTTGTCAATGGGCGGCGGTTATGACTTAACATGAGGTGAACCGCGAGTCAGCTCGTTTGTCACCTTCTCGCATAAAAACATATTAAAAATCTGAAATGTTACACAAACAACAATAGATTATGTATTTTCCTACCAATGCTTAAATTGGCTATCATAACTCACGCTACTATTTAAATATTTTTTGAAAACTCGTAATTATAAATAGTAGTAACAGCTGTACTTAATTGAACGTGTTGTTCTATTCATGGAATTTACATATTTTATCATTCAGTACCGTAAGTGACATGATTGATGGATATAGTTATTAAATCAAAAATACACAAATAAAGCGATAATTTTTGAGGTGAATGAAATTCCCTTTATCAAGGTTCCTTCCGTCATCCTGTCACGAATCTATATACCATTACCAGGATAATGTAAAAATAATTGCTAGTTATTCTCCCAATCTTAGATTGAAAATCGTATTCATCCAGATTTTTTACTAAATTACTTTTAGAAGTTTTTACCTCTAAATACACCAAAATAGTTTTTTTTGCAATATGACAAGTCTTTTGTGTGCATGCTTTCGACAAGTAACTAGTTTCAAGTATTCTCAACTATTTTACAACTCTACATGGATCACTTTGCGACTTTGATGCTCGCGGGAAACCTTAGTTTGATCGGCAGGTAAAATTTAAATTAATTAGAATTTCAAAAATAGAAAAAGAACGAATTTTTCGGTCATTGCCTGCTAGTATTGTTAGCGACGAGGTTTTATTTTTTTTTTAAATACAAACTGGCCAGTATTTGACTGACATGTAAACATCGTCCCATGGAAACGAGAGCGAATTAATGCGCTACCGGCGCGCGCAGGCGGGCGGTTCAAGGAGGGCCCTGCTCGGCTCGCAAAGGGCCGCGTGCGCGTCACGCGCCGCCATTGACCCACTTAGACATACCAAACTCGCGCGCACAACGTATACTCGCCGACGAAAGCCATACGCTCCAACGCTCGTCACGTATGCACATTTTGACTACGATTTTACTTCATATATGATTATATAGACCAATAGAAACTGTTCGATAAACGTAAATACAAGTAATTGTAATGTTAATAGAGTATTTCCTTTAAAACCATTGAAGTGATGAACAATAAGTTATTTTATAAAATTAATGTTCATTTACTTACCGGACAACATGATGTTTGCCTTTGTTTACTGGTATATTTTTGTAGGTAAGTTTAATGCTTTTCTTGAGAATTAACAAGTACTTGTTTAATTTATTACAAAGTATTGTAATAAAGCCATGTTACAAAAGCGCATGTTCGAGCTTATTCAACAACATGAATCTCTAGTGTAGAGACTGCTAATTACTGAGTAATTTATCATATAAAATCCTCTGAGTAATTCTTATCCCAATGAAATTATCTAAAAACTGTATACTTTCAGGAAACATTTTGCAAAGAAAAACTTTTTATGTTCAATTTACGAATTCGCCTTTAAAGCTTTTGCGGTACTTTTAAAATGAAGAGTTGCTGTTCTCACCAGGAAACTGATACTGTGATATACTGCTTTTCATCTGTGGTAGAGTCACGCAACAACTTCTGCTGTTGCACAAATGCGCAGGGTGGTCCAGGGAAGTACCACGGCCTCAAGAAGATCGACTTAAATTAGTAGTGTTCTCATTTTAAATTTCGTACCGTGAATGAGGCACGCGGTGAAACCTTATAAAATGTTAGCAAGCAAATACTTAACTTTCTCAAAACAGGTGAACAGTCTGGTCCCTCTCCTACCTTCTACCGTTATTTGCAACGATCAAAGTAAAAAGTATAGTGACCGCCTATATATGCCCCACTAATGGGCGGAAGGTGGCTATTCCTCCTCTGTACAGAGTATTAGGGTATACTTCATCACGTGACTCATGATTGGCAAACTTCACATATCTTCGAGAATTTTTTTTATTGGGCGTGATAAAGCAGCCCATGTTATTAAAACCAATATAGGAAATCAGTAATGCTTTTAAGAAGTGAAAAATTAGGGAACACTGGTATTCATAGTAGTTGAGATGTTTTGAAAGGCTTGCAACAAGTGGCGATAACAATGTGTCATCAGTTGGAGGGACTGTTGTAAAAAACAGTACTTATGCGATTCACGAAGCTATTTTATTCTAAATGTATGCTGTAGTGTATCGTTCTTCGAAGATCTATATTGGATCGGAACATTTAATAACCTAGTACATAAGCATGAGCTCAAACGCAGTCCTACTCAAAACGGGGTGCTGTATGACGCTGGTAGAATCTGAGTCGCTCACGAGCTTTGCGTTAGATGACGATTTAATAGTAGTGAAAGGAAGAACACTAATCAATACAGATAAACATAAAGGTAAAGATTTAACCACGGCCAAAGATGTAGCCACTTTCGTGCGCGATTGTGTTACATTTCAGCGGGCCTCGATCGCCACAGTTGTTTGTGGCGCACATCTCAAGGCGACGTTGGCTCTGCCGCAAATAATTCTGCTATTGTGAAACCACGCGTCTTATCAGCCGCCCAGGACCTTGGCTGGATCACACGAAATACGGTCAAGTTGACGATTTCGTGATTACGCTCTCGTATGATAAATAAAATTTCCGTGGCCCTATCGCTAATATTCGTGTCGTCAAGGGTACAAGTGTTGTAGGCACATGAAATGCCATTAATATTTAATCTATAGGCGTATTAAAAATACTGTCGTGAGGAGTAATCAAATATTCATGACTCTTACATAAACATGTTGCAACAAGTACATAATCATCAAAAACTATGTACATGATTATTTAAGGAAAACTTTGTATGTAATGGGAAATCACGGAAGCGTATAAGCCGCTTCTAAAAATACTCATCCAACGCTATATTAGCATTTCTTTTGTCAGTATTTATTGATCAAGTTGGAATAAAAAGCTCAATAGTTTAAACTTACCGGTTTACGGACAACTGTCAAATAAGTCGTTCAAAGAGCATATAATGAAAGATATTGACAGTCTACGACAAACTGGAACGATTAGAGAAACTATTCAAACTCAGCGGATTTTACAGCCTATGGAACGTAAGGATGATTTTTTTCTTGTAAGATTCTTGTCGGAATGGCATAAGCCTTTGAGAATTACTTAACTTAAACTAACACTGAAAGAGTCAAAGTGAACGTTTAGTCCTTGCAAATGTCACAGTAACGATAAAGGTTAATCGTAGCAGACTGAAAGCTTGACGAAATTCCAGGCTATATCCAACGATGTTTTAATAAAGATGACGCATGTCCATACTGCCCCGACTTTCAAAATTGTTCTGCTTAACGTATGACATGGAAAGGCATACCAGTCTATAGAACTGCAATCTAGTTACACCAATTGGCATAGTGACTCAGTTTTGGTGCCCTAGTGTAATATCTACCTCCTATTTGTATATAGTATCATTGAGCTATATCTATGTTTGAACCAGAATTGTTTCTAAAACTATACTTTAATAGTGATTTATGGGTGATGGACATAAAGTTCGATTTACATTATTCGTCAGTACACTGAGTCACAGACTGTATAGTTTTCGTCTTTATTGATTCAGTAATTCCAAATGGGGACCGATTCTGAATCGCTACATGGAAACAGATGCGTTATTCATTACTGAGAGGTGCATGTTCCATGCATTATCTCTCAAGAGGCATACCAATGATAAATGCGACGACGTCAATGCACTCCATAGCATGCTAGGTCAGTTCCCTATGACTCAGTCACTAATGCACCGTTACGTACATAACGCATCGTGATCTCATCCTTCACTATCGAATGAAATTTCATGCGGCAAATTCTAACGTTAAAGTACATCGAACTCTCTGATCGTACATTTAACTTTCAATACGCAACTTTAGCAGCGATGTAAAGGCATTTTTTGTTTTGAATTGTCTACAAAGTGCGTTATGAATAAGAGATTTCGTAAGAAAAGACTGGTCGCGTACATCAGTACAATTATCATTATCCAGTGCGTCAGTGACTTTACGAAAATACTTATCTGCTCTCATTCGTTACTTTCGATTTCGATCATTGTTATGATTTAGGACCCATTGATTTGTTTTGTTATGAATACGAAATGGTCGTAATAAGTTACGGTGCCAAGTTTTTCTTTTGATGATTTGCATTGTATAGGTGCAATTTCATTGAAGTACAGTAGATATGTTTTTGCTTTATATATCCCTTGTATACGTTGTCCTGAATCAAATTATAAAATATGTGATTAAATGCAATTTTTATAACGGAAGCAAAACGGAGGTTGTTCAATCCACGGTGTATCGAGATTTTTTTAAGAAAATAACTTTGTAAGTGCAGTCTGTTGACAGTGCATTTTGGTTAATTCTTAGATATCTATATAAATAGATTGAATGGTTGTAATTGACTTTAATTACTTTTTAGTTTGGAAAGCAATACTGGATAAATTTGAGTGTGTTAAGGAAAAAGTAAAGTTGGTAATCCAACCAACTTGAGAGTCACATTAGTCTTATGAGAGCTAGAGACAAATTTAACCGCTGACCTGACGTTGCATGGGTGACGGTGACTTCTATAAAATAAGGCTACCAATAGGTAGACTTATTTTATAGAAGTAGGTCTTTCCATACTTTGCTCGAATGCAGTCTTTCCATACTTTTCTCGAATGCAGTCTAAATTAATTGACTTTGTGAGATGTTTGTCCGCTATTTAGTTACCGATCTATTTAAGTTCACAAATGCATCCTCATTTGAATGCCACGATGACTGTTGGTTGTGTAACTGAAGCCATGGCCATCTGGCTATTTGCCTCCTCCGAGCCCTCGGAGGGGGGGCTCCACCCTTTCCGCGTCCGGCCACCCCTGGACATACGTTTTTTACGTGACAAACAAACCGCATTAAGAGATATCGGCCCCGGAAACACTTCGGCTGACGTATCGGATTTGTTCAATATTTAAATGTCCTCCTTCGTTTATGCCCACGCTTAAAAACATTACGCTCACCACTTTGACGAATACAATTTTAATGGAACAAAATTTAAATGCGCTATTGTACATCAAGTTATTTTACAGGGCACGTATAGAAATTCTCGGTTTTCGGGTTTCTGAGAACATTTGTATATTATAAGGTAAGGTTGTATTTTTTCGTTTTATGAAACTTCCGTTTTTGGATTCGTGGACAAAGGCATTTAATTTATGGAGCCGACTCCACTCAGGCGCAAATAGGTTTCGCGAGTTCTATATTTTATTGTGTTAAGTTATGTTGTATAATTCCGTAAATGATCCAGAATGTTTTTGAAGAGAAAAACGTGCAATAGGATGTAATATGTGGGATTGGAAATAATAATAGTCAAAAAAGGCCATAGCAGCGTATGATCTTCGCTTTCATTGAAAATGATCATGCTTATATTATTGATATTTACAACTTTAGGGTCAGTCCGACAGTTAACAACGATCAGGCAGATGTGTGGAACCGTCGAACGAAACTTGGCTACAATATCGGACGCGTTCTGCACTGCCCGAGGTAGTGCAGCTTGAACCGACGACCAATGGCGGCGCGAGTTAATCCACGCACATCAAATTAATTCACCGCTACTCGAACTGCTTAGGACGCCCTCGTTAATTCGATAGATATATGCATAATCATCAGAGATATGCACATCGGCAAGATGGTCGAGTGGGGACAATAAGTATGAAATTACCCTTGGGGGCGTTAACTTAATTTAAATAAACTCTCAAAGATCTTATTTTTGTATTGTTTAGCTTTATTATTGATGGTTTACGAAATTACTACAATATGTAGAAGTTTGAATTGTTTTGAATGGTAATGTTTTTTGTCTGTCCCGTGATTGTGGTGTTAAAAACATGCCTGCAATTAAACATGATAGAATCCATAAAAAAATAATTTAATAATGGAAACTAATTGGACAGTTTTTGATAAGTTAGATTGAATAAGTCTTATTAATATTTCTAATACGGATTGTAAGATCAATTTCCAAATTAATAAGCAATGTCAGATTCCTGAAATTTTCTTCCTAAGTGAATATTATTAGAATGTAATTTGCCACTATCTTCCTTCTAGAATTCAAATACTTACTATAATTTAAATAGACATAATCGCCTTTTTTTTAAAACCAAATACATTAGAATTAAACTCCTACGGCTGATATGATGATGATGATGATGATGATGATGAAACTCTAGAAAAAATAGGTAACTAAGAGTCTTTAAAGCGTATTGTTATGCAATACTGTCATATTTTTGAATGATATGTATATTAATACGTAAAGCCAAAACTTTTGATCCCTTTTCGAGAATACTACACGTACGCAATAAAACGCGTACAATATGCACAAATTAAAAATTGTCTATAGCCATAGAATTGTTTTATGCCAGACTAGCTTTATGCCCGCGGCTTCGCTCGCGTTGAAGCCCTTAAATAAATATCTTTCTTTTAAGTTTTTTCCAATAAAAAATAGCCTATGTCCTTTCTCAGACTCTAAACTATCTGTGTACCAAAATTCATTTGAATCGTTTTCGCAGTTTTGGCTTGAATACGAAACAGACAGAGAGAGTTACTTTAGCATTTATAATATTAGTATGGATCGGCTGTAAGAAATTTAATGAATTACAGTCACATTTTGACCAATACGCATACTCCTCAATAAATATTTAGGAAAATGGTAAGCAAAAGTTAACTAATTAGCTTTTTTGGAAATATAAAATATAATTAAAATTCGTGCGTAGACTAAAGGCTTGCACGCCTGCGTGAACTTAGAACGGAAACATTCGTGTAGGGTTGCGATTTATTGCGGACCGCTGCGGACCCCAACAGCCGGTGTCCCTTTGCTTTAATTGGCTACAAAACACATCCCATTTATAAAAGATCATTGTGATAACGGGAAGTCGCAGCTTTTTGTTACGAATTTCGTTATCGCAATAGATATTTTGAAGCGGGGCTGCAGATCCGCCCAACATGTACGAAAGAGCTCCATTCATAGTTATTTTTTTAATTAGCCTTTAAGATGGTTTCGTTTCAGTGAAGCTTTTAATATGCTTTGATCTATGTTAGTTATTTATCGTGAAGTGTTCACGCTTTGATTGGGTAGAGTTAATTTATAGAAAAGTGATAATTAAATATGGCATTTTTATAATTTTCTAAAGATGGCAATAACGTTAGGGTATATTAATGAGGTTTTTATCTTACAAGACTAAGCCTTTATCGCTTATTATTAGTTTTGATTGTTTTATATATGTTAAGATAGTTATAGTTTATACAATTTATTATGGAAATGACCATATTACAGTGATGACAATAAGTATTATAAAGCTGGTCCTAAAATAATTTCAAATTTTGTTTTATTGTTTAAAACACTATAATGAACGTGTTTGGTGTAGAAATATTAAAATAAAATACACACGTATTGTATGTGTATTTTATTGTGTTGTAATGTGTTACATTTCTGGAATATGCTGCACAGATTTCTTATAAAAATTTACAATTATGAAACGCATCCAAATGAACGGCAAAAAATATGAGATTGCACAATAAATCTAATGACACGATGCCGTCTATAAATATAATCAGAACAGGTAGAATTTGGAACTAATGACGGGATTGGTATTGTGATAGCCTAAGAGCCGATTGCGGTGCTGCGCCGAAATGGTCGTTGCGTAGTCGATAGAGGGTGGGTTAACTATCCGGCGAACGTTTTTAGTCGTTTTCCGAGAGGAGCGGGGGCGAGGTCTGAAAGGGTTGTGGGAACTGAGGGCACCTGCGTCCGCACATGGCGCGGCGCTGTTCGTTTTTTATCCATTCGCGCAGACATCGGCCTAATGCAGTTTCTGAGTCATCTGGCCTGTGCGCCGACGTTCCGCTGCTACGCGGCCTACGAACATCCCCTATATACTTATTGGCCGACATTGATTAAAAGCAATTTTATCGAATGTAGATGTGGATTGGTGAAGAACAAATGCTTAGATTCGACAACAACGCACATTAGTTAAGAATTCAAATGACGCATTTGTAAAGAGCAAAATGTAGGGCCACGAAGCTGCTGGTGTTTCACGAATGGACACTGGTCCAAGGAAGTACCAGGTACAAATAAAAGGTTTACAGTAGTATATTTCCGGTTACTTCACTCTAGTTAGTAAGGTAACCGGAACCAGGCTTAAGTCCGTATAACTTTAAAAAAAAATATTTCCCCTAATAAATCACTGGCAATCGTGTCTGCCATCACCTAGTTCTCTTCTTACCCGATGTAAATAGGCGAGCCTAGGATATCCTTCACCCATCCATACTATAGCTGTTCTTTCGCAGTGTAACTTTATCCAAGAACTTGATAGGTTGTCTAGGTCTCTGCGAGTAAAATGGTCAAGTTATTTAATGCTGCATGCTTCAAATAATAATGCTTGGAAGACTGTTGCGGTAACATGAAGTTGGCTGCTACCCTTGCTGTAACAGATGCAGAAATCCTCCTTTGTACCTTGTAGTTATCGTTCAAGATACCGTGCTGTAAAGAAAATTGAGAATATCTAAGTACGTACAAGTACTTTCGTGATTCAAGGTAAATACGTACAAGTACTTTCTTGATTCAAGGTAAATACAAGTACTTTCTTGATTCAAGGTAAAGTTATTCACGTGCGATAAATCAAAATTAATACTAAAAATTATCCTTGATGTAGTAAACAGGTCATGTTGTCTAAGTGAATGCAATGTCAACTTTATCTTCATCACATTGATAAAATAACGAAAGACATGATATAATAAGGAAACGTATTATGAAGAGTACCATTGGTCTAAATGTTAATTTTAACTTTAATCTAAGCTTTCATTGTAAATTTTATGAGCCGATATTTTTGCGTCGATAAAAACTCGATCAAAAATAAACGTTACTAATTATCAGGCCGTTCTTTCCAATTGCGGTATACACTTAAAGCCATCGGGTTCAGAAATTCGGATGAAAATAAGCTGTTACCTTTCCAACTGCGTATTGCCATAAACTTATCGAGTTCAAAAATTCAGGCGAAAATTGGCTAATTGGCGAGTGAAATTGAATAATTGACGACCCGAGAAATGGGGCGGTTGCGAACTGTCGATCGCAACTGTTTGCCGCGGCATTAGCTTGTCGGCGGGTGAACTCATTACGGACGGAGCGCGACCAGCTATTCGAGATACCTCGCTCCACACGGAATGTTTCCCACCCGGGGTCATTGAGTGGGCAATCGCGCATGCATTATTAAGGCGCGGCGGACGTTACCTGCAGAACTGCCCCTATTTCTCGCCACTATTTATTCATTTCGCAACGCAGCGCCCACCCACCCCCGGCTCACGCGCTCCCGTCGATGAATATTTAATGGCGTGCCTATAAGGCCTTGAAGTCACCTAGCTTCCTCGTTACAAGGCACAACAGTAATGAACGCAATATCCATTCACGTTTCGATGGAATCTTTATGTCAACTCTTCGCCTAGTTATGTATGCTTTTGATTTAAAACTTTTGATAAAAGCTGCTTTAATGTTTAATTAGCAGTAATATTATGTTACGTCAGAACCATAATGCTTTTTTATGTGGGAAGGTGGCGGGCGAGCTTGAGGTTCACCTAACGTGAAGTGAAAACCGCCATCCATTGACATTTCCAGCACCAAGTAAGGTTCCAGATGCGCCACTTTTTGATAAAGTGGACCCTGGCTACCGCACTCACCAGACAAAATGCAGAAGTATTTTATATGTTACAAATCCATGTAGTCTATATAATATCCGCTTAGCAAGCATTGAAACGATTTTTCACCACTGAAGGACTAGAAAAAAAATTAATAATGACGGGACTGATTAAAACATTCAAACGTCAGAAATCGGTGAATATGTAACGAATGCAAATTAGCACACGTCCAGGATAAACGCGATAAAATTCTTAACATAATAGTCAGCGTTCGAAAAAAGCCAAATCGTGTTTTGTGCCCGGTGTTAATCGGATGGCATCGGATGGTATTAGGGTTTTTTGCATAAGCGGATAACCCATTGGCGCTACCTGAGTTGTGCGTCGAACCGACAGCCTTTGTACTGACTCCCCTTCGTCCGTAGGGTGGCCATGACAAATGTCAATCTAAAAACGCCCACTCTGTCCATTACAACGGGGAATGCTAAAAACTAATTAGAGTACTAACACTAGATTATCGGTATTGTACACTCAATTATTATAACCTGTGCGCTTAGTTCATAATATTTTTTCATAAATATTCAAAACCACAAGCCCATTAAAATTGTAGAACCTTAAGACCCTTAACCAACAAAAGTTGAAGACAGCCCGGGCTAACTATGACGTTAGGATGTAACACTACTTATTCTGTTCTATGAGACTGCTATGTACTATAGAACAGATTAAATAGTTTTACTGTTTCTATGAGACGGGTACTGTAAATATCCAAGGCGTCGGGAGTTTAAAAAGGGAGCTCTTGTTTTTTTTTTTAATCCTTAAAAATTTTGTTTACAATATTTAAAAAGTTACTTTACCACGGAACTCTGAAATTCCTCTCACTGCTTTCCAGTGGTAATCTTTTTGGACCGTATCCACGATGTCGTAAGTTCTTGTTTGCTTGTGTAAAACTTTTAAACACAAGGAAACAAAACGATTTAATTATAAAATAATGAATTAAGTTGAATTATATATTATTGCAACACTGTCCTTTATTTTCTGGTCTGGAAATAAAAGAAAGTCTAAATACATGTTTTGGTCTAAATCATCTATGAAAGCTCCCTCGCAAAGGAATATATAAATCCATTGATATATTATCTTAACGTCACCCTACAGATTGTTTTGTATTTTAGAGACATGACTGGGGGCATATACGGAATGGAAAAAAGACAAGACGGCATACTTTTTTACGCAAGTGCAATATAGGTCAGGTGCACACTCAACCCTTTCACGGCGTGGGAGTTGAGATTTTTTGCTCGCAATAAATGCTCGATGCGATCGGTGTTTTGTGCAAGCCTTTTTCGATAGTGGCGAGAAGTGTTTGCGATAATTTGTTCCCACATTGCATCATGATCGGGGAAGTGCTGACAGCTAGGGACCTCTCGGTCTATTATGTACCGTTAAGGTTGCGAAAAGGAAAAGCTGCTGCTGTGTGTGGCCATTGTTAGCGGGTTAACTGTTCATTGGCAGTAAATTGGAGGTATTGTATTACTTCAATTCTTTATGTGTGAAGAGCTGTTAGGTGCACGAAAATGTACGTGTTTTTCTACGTACATCTGAAAATATGGTTGTAGCACAGTTGAACATAGTGACCGCAGTGACGGACGTAGCTTCATGTATATAGTAATATATGAAGCAAAAACTTTGTATACCTTTTTACCATAATGAAATTTCCCACACTTATAGTTTATATAGAGTGCAGAATGCTAATATTTTTCTTAAATTATGCATAAAAAACACATAAAATCAATAAAAAAAACACTACACACTCTACTATGTATAATGAATTATAGTCGAATTTCGACCACTGAGCGACCACTAGTTGTTATAAAAGTTAGTTGTCTTTTGTAGAAACTTTGGAGTCAAGAGGCAAATATTAACAGATATTTAAATAACGTATCCTATTGAAGGATAAATAATGTAAAGATGGTCTCAGGAAAATGAAAGCTTGTGTGGTTGAGAGACTCGTCCGGTACAAAGCTCCTTACGCTTTTCTCTCAAATCTTAATTTAATTTGAAATACTCTCCAAACCTTGTTTATTATCCCTTTAATTCAATGTAAATACATGAACGATTAGGTATCGATTGAAAAAGTAAAATTTTATTATTGAGGAAAAATATTCCTTAAATGATAATGAGGTACAAAATAGTCAATTGAATGAATTATAAAAAAAATAATAAATGAATGAATCGCATCGTCGCACGGGTCACATCCTACTTTGATATTTTATAGCAAGTTTTAAAAAAACGTCAGTGAGCGTATAGTTGAGGAGACATGAAGGAGGCATTTTCCTTAAGTGATGATTTTTACTAACTGCCTTTAAAAATAAAAAAAACAAGTTACATACATATCTGCTGCTTTTACAAGATAAAACATAATTAATGATTGAAATTAATGGTCATAACTTTGCAAGACCCGTACAAAAGAGTTTTCTAACGATATATCTAATGGCAGTAGTCAAAATATATTTGCCGAGAGAATAATGAGAGTTCGCGGCGGGGGCGAGTTTAGGACCGGAAACGTAACGTCCGCGGTGGAACTTGACTTCCGGTGCGTCATGTGTTTATTGATTATGTTAATCACATTTTTAAAACAAGGTCTCGGAATAAAGTAAGTTAAGTGTAATGAGAATGCTCAAATAAACCTTTATATTATTGTAGAGTTTAAGAAGTTGAGAGGACGTGAAAAAACGTGAAATAATTATCACTAAAGTTTCATAATGTTTTGGATACATCCTTTGTATTATATTTTTATTCATTGTCCAGGAAAGTAGCACAGTCTCACAGAAAACCAACATGAAGTCATTATTATTATTATAGTAATAATTATGTTAAAAGGTAGCAAGCGCGCTGGTAGTTTATGGGCAGGTCCGTACGGATGGTACTTACCTGGACAGACCTGCCCTTTCATTCAACAGCGAAGACTATTGCGTGGCACTAACTACCACAGATAAACCGAAAGTGGAGCTATTATACTTTTGCGTTCCGTCTGATTTAAGTGCGATAACCAGTGCTACTACTTTTTAAATTGGCAACGCGTCTGCTACCCAATGTCAATGTCAGGTAATCACTTAACAATCAGGTGATACACCTGATAGCTTGACATCTCACATAAAAAAATTAAGGCATTCGTTTCTATCTAGTACCGTGCATATACATATAAGTATTGCATTTACAATAAAGGCGATTAATCTTTTCACGAGCTTTGGCAAAAGCGACTCATCAAAGCA